ACTGAGGAAGTTATATTCTTTGATAGACTGGCACGTCTAGTTTTTATCAAGGTTTTACCATGGGCACTATGGCATAGGAATATTTATGTCCTTCATTTTACTAGCCTGGGTGCCAGACTGTCTCCAGGGCTTACAAAGTCCAATTCCTGTAAGTTCCAGACTAGATTCACAGAATGGCCAGGAAACTCCTTAATTGGTCAATTACATACTAGTACCTTTTTAGGCCGATTTCTTTTCGATTTATTCAACCTGCAAAGGAGTCTGGTGGAGACTACTATGGGTCTGGCATTCAGGCTATGACTTTACAAGAATTCTGAAATATGCCCGCCCGGAAAATCGCCATTCATTCCTGGTCCCTACTCATGAATAGCGATCGACAAAGGAATTCCTGGGGTCTAACAACTCTTTTCTCGTCGGTCCCGTCTCTAGGTGCCCATTCTCTGTGAGCTGATCGCCCAGCACGCGGCATCTCTACAGCTACTTCATAAATCATTCATATCGGCCACTTGTTGGATCTAGAACCGTTCGGGGAAGCTGTGTCATCTGTTTAGTCACTCTTTGCCGCCGCTTCTCTTGTCTTACTAAAGTTTGTTGTTGTAATTATATCATTGAGAGACGACTAAAGCTGTGTTGAGAGGCAGAATTTCGCGCTAGAAGAAATATCTTGTGACCACATCCTGTGGTAGGGTAGAAAAATCTTGACTGACAAAAACCGCTCGTACAAACAAATTTGTAAAACTGCATTTCCTCTTCTTTAACAGGAGTTCATCAGTGAGACTATATCCCTGCAAAATTGGAACTGTGTTATCAGGCAGAATTTCGCGTTTTGAAGAAATATCTTGAAGCCACATCCTGTAGCGACAGTAAGAAATCGTGACTGGCAAAAATCCGCTCGTAAAAAAAAACTACTTTTCTTCTTCTTTCAGGTCACTTTGCTGTGATTATATCATTGCAAGACTGAAACTGAGAGATATTTTGTAGCCACATCCTGAAAGGCAGAAAAAAATCGTGACAGGCAAAAACCCGCTCGTAAAAAAACTGCCTCTCATCTTCTACCCACATCCTCGTTCCGCCAGGAAGTTAGCGCGGGAATTCCAGCTTGATTGACAGCTGAGTCGGACGGCCTTGCGGGGAGTCAGTGTGAGTGACAGAGGGTTAGGACGCGGGTCAGCTGACTCTGACAGAACAGAGCTGAAACCCGTTCGCTGCTGTCACAAGACAGAACCTGGAAGAATTCAGACCGTTTTTAGGACCTACACAGACCAGCCCTAGCCTGGGTGCCATCCGATTTGTAAAGGCTACAGCCCTTCTACACCAAGGAAGGAAATTTTGCCTTAGTGCCTGGCGGGGAGTCAGTGTGACAGAGGGTTAGACCGCGGGTCAGCTGACTCTGACAGAATAGAGCTGAAAACCGTTCGCTGCTGTCACAAGACAGATCCAGAGTTCCAGACTGTTTTCAGGCTCACACAGGCCAGCTTTGTGACATCAGGTCTGAATATCCCCAAGGAACTGAATCCAGGCAGGCCAAATCACTGGGCGTGTGCAGTTTTCCAGGAGAAGATAGTACTAGACTTGCAGTGCCGTGGAAACCTAGATTACAGCCGAACCTTGTATCCTGAGTTCCAGCCTCTTACAAGGGCTAACACAGGCCAGCTTTGCAACTCCAGGTCTGAATATTTCCAAGGAAGTTTAGCCTCAACTGCCTTAACCTTTCACCGCCGTGTGCACAGTTTTCTAGCCGGGGGACAAGATCTTACAACACCGAGGAATAACAGCATACAGCCCCTGGGAGTAGAGGGACTATTGACGGGGTTAGCCAGGACTTAAACAGGAACAGGAACAGTTGCTAGAGTAACGACGCCTACAAACATTCCCCAACAGTTGACGAGCTCCGTGACTCCGGCATTGGTGTCCTGTATGAGCGTTTCCTTGTCCGATTTCTCTCAGATGTCGTCTGCAAATCGGACGATCGACTGGTGACCGCTGCCTAGCAACCAACCGTGTAGAGGTATGTGAACATTTAAATCCGAATCTTCCCTTCTTCTTCTTTTCTCCAACGAGGTACGACTTTCCATAATAACTTCCTTGTCGTAACTACACATGTTTCTTCCCACTTCGAATTGCTTGTAAGTTAGTGCTAACAAACAGATTGAGCTTTCTTGTATGTAGAATGATACCCTGTGACTATTCCAGTAAAGGCGTAACATGCAAGAACCGTTGCCTTAATTGCAGCACCTCTTTTCAATACTTTCTATAACCTGCTTGTTGTATCTACAAGTTTCATCTCATATCGGATTGCTTGTTTGTTAGGTTGTAACATTGGCAATGCTTACAACTGACTCTTGTTTTGCACAAGGAGGTCGAATCAGATATAAATTGTGAACCGTTCCCTTCTTTATAGTGACATTATGCAGGGCCTGCCCTGTCACTAACTCAGTATGGGGTTGTTGTTGGGGCAGCACAATTCAAGAACCGTTCTTTCAGTCCCTGTTTTACAACGGGGAAGTTTTGCTTTCTGTAAGTGTAAGTTGATAAAGGTATAAACATGACTAGAAAAGGGGAAGAGATTGCTAAACATAAATGTTTTAGGGGTAGAACTTGGCCTGTATGTAACTTCCCTCCCTAAATGTGTCAGTTCGCTAATGAGAAAACCTGACAACTGTCGCCCACGCAACATAAGGTCAGGTCATTTCTACGGGCAAACGTTTTAGTCAGAAACAATCTCTCCAAGTCAAAGCAGATGTATGGTGGCTCTCCTGAGTTTGAGACACTGTTGCATGTTGGAAACACGATCGCGAGTTAGCCTATCCAGAACCAATATCATCCAGAACAGGCACGGTTCTGGATAGTCCACGCGCATATCCAGAATCGTGCCTGGAGCAAATCTACGTTCTTGGATACGCAGACACTATCCAGAACATTGCCTTAGCTTCAACCCTAAGCAAATCAGGCATAGCCACGGTTCTCGATACAGTGCTCCAAACATCTGCTTGGAGATTAGCGTCGTCATGCCTGGTTCTTCCATGTAGAACTGGTCAAACACTAACGTTATTTCTCCTCCATGAGTAAGCGGAACCCACAATAGGGGCCCTGTTGTCTGTTCCTGTCAATGCTGGCCTTTCAGAAGGTTTCGTTTCAAAGTAACCCGTATCCTTTTAGGTCCGTAAATCGTAGCCTCGATCTACCACTGCCAGGCTTCGGGAGGCGGCTGGAAAGAGTAGAAATTGGTCAAATAGAGAGATAACATGCCGGGGGAGTTGGTCCGCTGGAGAGTACAGTTCAGATGCGGCAAACTATATCTCTAGCGGACCAACTCCCCTGGCATGTTATCTCTCAATCTGACCAACTTCTACTCTTTTTATACTAACTATTATTATAATACTCTCATTATATTAACTTTAGTAAATATAACGTTATGTTGTCCTCTTAGCCTTCTGTTTTCAATTGTTGTCCCTTTTTATTGGAACGGGAACCATTGATGTAAATTTATGCGACCATAGCAGTGTATTTGACAGCCCAATCTTGTGACGAACTATCTGATAGACCATTCCCTGTGAGAATGGAATTCAAGTTTACCCACTTTACGAGGCGAATCAAGGCTGAAGGTCACGGGGTCACGTGACCTCGGGAGGAGAACACATTCCGCTGTCGTCGCTATGCCGTCAAGTTGGAGGCTAACATTGGGGGATTTCCTGATACCCTATCATCAAAATAGGCAATACGTAATTTTTTTGCTGAAAAAATTGCTGAAAAGAAATTTAATGCCGACAGAGCTTGGAGCTAAGAATGTTGATAGGATAGTTACAATGACTTCATACCTTGTTTTCGTCACATTCGCGATTACTGCAAACCCCTTACCTAGCCTCGCATTGCCTAGCATGACAAGAAGGCAAACAACCGTTTAGTACAGAAGTCAAGGACCGGTCATGGCTGCTATTGTTAGAAAAAACAAGAGTTCGTAGAACACATACCTCCGCAAGTTAATGGGGGCCCGCATGCTCTTTTCCGTAGAGCGCAATTTAATTCTACGTAGAGCGTAATTACTGCTGGGTGCACAATTTTTTTGGGGTGCACCATATATAAGATAAAATAAGAACTTAGTGTCAGCAAAAACTAGTTATGTTTCATTTCTACTGAGAATCACTTTAGCAATGATTTTATTATTTTTCAGATGTATATTAAGAATATTCTGTATGTCATATATAACATATATGTCAAACATTGGCTGCACTGGTGCACCCACAGAAAAAAAAAATGGGTGCACAGCTCCAAATTTGGCCAATTGGGTGCACCAAGGTGCACATGCACCCAGTATTTCCAGCCATGCTACTAGTATGTGTATGTCGCTATTGCGTGCCAGCCCTAATCCCACACAGACCCGGCTACATCGCTACAAGCCCGCCCTACCCGAGTGGTGGATACAACTGTTTATTGTGCTTTTCTTCTCTCCTCCTTCTACAGCCTTAAAGGATCGCCTGCGAAGTGGAAACTATTTCTTGAAGACAATTGTTCCAAAGGAAGAAATAATCCTTAGTGGCAAAAAGGAAGCAAGAAAGTCTCGAAGGATATTGAAAGATCGCCTAAGACACACAAGTAAAAAACTATTTTTTGAAGACATTTGTTCCCAAGGAAGAAGCGGTAAAAGAAAAGAAGGCCACTGTCTTGGAAAATCGAGACACCAAGGAGCGCTAAGGATCGCCTAAGACGCAAGAAGTGGAAACTATTTCTTGAGGACAATTGTTCCGACGTAAGAAATCCTTGGCAAAACGGAAGCAAGGAAGTTTCGGTCTTGGAAAATCAAGACACTGAGACACACGAAGTGGAATCTATATCTTGAAGACAATTGTTCCGACGTACGACATCCTTAGCTGTAAAAGGAAGCCAGGAATCTGCTGTGTCTTGGGAAATTAAGACACAAGAAGTCTAAGAGATATTCTCGAAGACAATTGTTCCGAAGTAAAAACTCCTTAGCGGCAAAAGGCAGTCGTTGTCTTGGCAAACACGCAAGAACATATTTGCTACATTTCAACAACGTCTTGAAGACGCAAGATGAACTCCTCCAAGTGGTGGGGGAACCTCTGGGGAAAGTCGAAGTCGAAGAAGCAATACAAGAAGGCGTTCTCTTCGGGCGCTCCTCCTGAAACAGAAGGCGAAGACGCTGCACAAGACGACGTCCAAGATGGCGGCAAACGTCGCAGCAACGGCTCCTTCGATAACCTTGAAGTTGAAGGTCATGACCTTCAGATGAAGGTCAGCCCGACGAACAACAAGGACGTGAGCCGGACCATGCAGGCCCGGATCAAGTCAAAGGTCAATCCTCACCTCGCAGACAGCTCCAACAAGATCATCAGAAAGTCCGACAGTTGCCCCTTTCGGAGGAACGTCGGGATTTCGAACTCGGGACGTTTCAAGGAGCATAAGTACCGTATGGGCGTGTTCGATAGACCCGACTTCTTCACGGATCCTTCCGAAAGACAAGACAGAGGGTCGCCGAGGATGGAGAGGTCGCCAAGGAGGGAGGGCAAACCTGCGCCGCTGGTGACTGACTTGTGACACGGCGAGACTTGTGTGAAGTTTCGTTTGTTTGGGATTGAGATGTTTAATAGTTGGTGGTGGGCAGTAGCCTTTACCAGGCTTTGGGAGGTGGCAAAATGTAGAGGACCAAATGCAATGCAATGTTATTTGTCTATTTGGCCGATTTCTACTCTTTCTAGCCGCCTCTGAAGCCTGGTGGTTGGGAGTAGCCTCTACCAGGCTTCGGGAGGTGGCAAACTGTACTACCTAGTAGACCAACTCCCCTGGCATGTTATCTCTCTATTTGGCCAATTTCTACTCTTTTCAGCCGCCTCTGAAGCCTGGTAGAGGCTAGGTGGGGGTTGGTAGATTGAGTGCAGGAAAATAAGCAGTAGGGTTTTGGTAATCTCTACCCAATGATGGGGTATGGACCCTCTCTGGCGAATGGATACTGCCTGGCCAATTTGATGCTGTCTTTTGTCACCCTAGGATCTGCTTGGAGATTAGGGTTTTGGGACCACCTGTTGGATTGACTTCTCTCGCTCGCGCTGGGAAAAATAGACTTGTGACTTCAAAGTTGTTTCTTTTGTGTAAAATCGAGAAGATTTTGTGATCACAGAAAAACAAAGTGATAGAATGCTGATTTCGAACCCCGTGTTGCACCTGGTTCAGCAGAAGATCTCGCGAGAGTTGGTAACGAGAACAGACGTTCGATTGTTCGGTCATGACGTGATGAAGGACATTGTTGACCCTGTATAATGTCCTTGGTTGACCTTTTTTGAGAGACTCTTGAGTAGTCTTTCTTACAATGGCTCAGCATTGTTTTCGAGCTTGATCTACAATTCGGGAATTCGATGTATCATTGTTAATATGATGTAGAGGGCTCTGAAAAGAGAAGTTGAACAGAGGGTGGCTTGCAGCTGATCAAATGTGAGACGCCATCTTTAAAACATGGCGACGGATGGATGGAATGTCGTCTGCGTTGCCATGGCGACAGCAGTGACCCTCTGGGGTCAAGAGATTTCTAAATACCAAATATGGCCTTTTGCAATTTGCTAAATGGACTTAAGGCAGTAGACAGCAATTTTGTACATTTCATTGATTAAGATGAAAGAAAGCATGATTTTTACTCTATTAATTTTATGTGATTTGAAGATTGTGATGTTAATATTAATGACATTCTGTCAAAGGAGATTTTCGTCATGTTTGTTTTTGTTATAGCAATTTGCAGCACAATTTGAGCTCGCGTACTTTTAAGGGATGGATCAGAAAGGGCCATAACAGTTTTTCAACAGTTTATTCATAAAAAACAGCCTCGCAGCCTGTACAAAAACATGCTGAATAACACTGACTTTTTTTACTGTTACTTGTCTGGCAAATGCAAATTAACATTGCAATACATATACAAACACACGAACAAAACCATTACAAAAAGCCTCACATGGGCACTAAAGTAAAGTCCAGAGAGTCCTAAGGGTCTTACCGTGAAGACTTATTGTACAGGCATATTGCCCTGTGTAAGAAAGAGTTTTTCAATCTTTTCGTACGGGCTGCTGGTACTGTAAATGAGGGCAATTGAAAGGTAGGGGGTTTGTAGAAATATTGCTGCAGGCTGACATATGTAAATATTTTTCTCTCTCTGCCTGCTTTTGATGACAATGGTTGTACTTTTTTCACCGACGTCTTATTTGTAAAAATGCTTCTCTATTTCTGAAGAACTTGCTGTAATTTTTTTGGGCGTTAAAACACAAAATGTTCCCCTGTATATCTGTCTCATACATAGGCCAATTCTTGTATTTTCCCCAAAAACGTCACCAAGAAAATATATTCCACATCCTCAATTCTGTTCCTTAAACATTCCACCCACTTACAAAATATTCCCAGGTCAAAACCACTGGCAAAATATTTATTTTTTTCTGTAAATCTATATCTTATAGCCCGTGTCTAGATCTTTCCTCAAAAGTCTCAAGGAACACATTCTTGTTTTTCAAAACCTCCGTCGATCTAAAAACTCCTTTCTGGTCCATCCCGATAATGTGAAGTAGCCATTTTTCCGCACGGATTTTAACTCAAGTAGTTTTGAACACTTAAGGATGAACTTAAGGTTTTTATCAGTGAAAATAAGACATATGTACACTTAAGATTCCGCTTATCATTTCACACTGGTCACCTTAAATTTGGAAAGTTAAAATTTATACTCAAAATATTTTAATAACTTTACAAATGTATAAAAATCTAAGAGTACAGACATATCAGAAGCTAAGTAAGAAGCAAAAATTTATCTTTTCTAAAAATATACTGCCTTGGGTATTTATCAAAAACGTCTGTTTCCAACTTTTCAGTGACCAGTGATTTTTGCATGATTATTTGCTGGTTTTGCAGATTCAAACTTGTGTTTACTGTGACTTGGTCACTTTGCTTCATTGATTAAATTGATTTATTGATCATTGATTGACTGATCATCATTGAGTGATATATTTACTTTGACTTGTTTTGCAAATCAACATCTAACCCAAAATACAGGTAACATCCTAGATGTACTTTCAGTCTGGTTCGTGAAGTCACGCCTCCTGTCGTTCACAACATGAACTGCAGTGCACTGTCGTGTGTAAACAAACATGTACCCAGATATAATACATTCTGAGTCTATACTTTTTCTGTTACCTTCAGTTTCGTTTAATGAAGTTAATAATAATAGTAAAAATTATGACCTATAACTCTCACGTTTTTCTATATCCCGTTATTAATGTTATTAACAAATTAATAACCACAGTTGTGAAATAAACTCTACCCTACAACCAAGTAATGGACCGTTCCAGATCGAACACATCGAACCCCCGACGTGTTCTATTTCGAACAGGGGGTTCGATGCGTTCGACATGTTCTATTTCGAACGGGGGTTCGATGCGTTCGATCTGGAACGGTCTATTCTAATTCGGGGTTGAAGTGCAGTTGTGAGTAGAATTCTAGAAATACCAAGCCTAAGTGTTGACATTCTTTTCTCTCTATTGTGCTGTTTTTAAAAGCACATACTCTAAAAGAAAGAGCAACATTGTCCGTACCAGTAACTTTAAACATACCAGACATAGTTCAAAGTCCTCGCCGTTTAAAACGTTTCACATTAGTACTAGCCTCTACCAGGCTTCGGGAGGCGTCTGGAAAGAGTAGAAACTGGGCAGATAGAGAGATAACATGCCAGGGGAGTTGGTCCGTTAGAGAGTACAGTTTGCCGCACTCTAGCGGACCAACTTCCCTGGCATGTTATCTCTCTATTGTCCAATATTTGTCCAACCTAATACCAACCCAGAAAAGAACAAGAAATAGCCATGCCTTCAAGTACCAGAGTTATCAACCAAGAATTGAGGTGTTAAAAAAATCATTTTTTTCCTAGACTATATCGCAGAGTGGAACTCCCTGCCACCAAGTACAGTAGGGGCATTGTCAATAGATAGCTTTAAACAATGTCTAGAGTTAAATGTTCAAGGATTAGGTATAACAAGTCGTTCGGTGTAATGCAACCAGCTGCCGCCGCGCCGCGTGCCTGCGAAGCTGGCGTGTTACGCCGAAGGGCGGTTATACCGGCTATACAGATACAGAATTTCTACTCTTTCCAGCCGCTCCCGAAGCCTGATAGAGGCTAGACTAGCCCCTGTGTCTGCCCGCATAGTTTCAGACTGAAAAGAGAAAATTCTCGTCTCGTCTCGTGCATATTTAAGAGGTTGGCCGCGACTTCCGCAATGTCACAGCACAAAGGTGCATTCAAGGGGGCCGCATCGGGTTACCGTTCCCATGGCAACGGCGATGGCGTCACCCGAGCGCGCGAAAAGGCTACCTGTCAGTGTAGGCAAAATGTCGTCTGCAAAATGGCGGGGGTAGAACATTTTTTTTTGGCTGTTTTTTTGTTGTTTTTGTTTGTTTATTTTTACGTGCGTTTTGTAAACAAAAAACCTTGTTTGTTTCCTGTGTGAAAGTGATCTGAACTTTCACCCCAGAAAGTTCGCCCCTCCCCCCGGCGCCCTGTGATTGGCCGTGACGTCATTCTTTTCTTTGTCCTTCTTCTGATCTGCCCTCTACTGTGTCAAGGGTTCGCAGGGAGCGACTCAAAATCACGATTCACACCGCACTCGTTACAGCTAGGCATCCAATACAGTTTTAGGGCTTGGAAACACGATTTTTCAAAGGCAATATTCTAGTCATTTACCTACATGCTGAGTTGAAATCACACTATCCCAATGTATATGGACCGTCGTGGAGCAAAAATCCCCAAAAGTCTGACGGAAAATAGTTACTGGAAGGGCCCTGGGCTGATTTCTAGGGTACTACCCGTAAAATAAAGGACTCGTCTTTGGGGCTTGTTTACGCATACTGTATCAAATACTGATTGAGGTGTGCTGATGTGAAGCAGTATGTGTCAATATCATACAGATTGCCTTATTAAGAATATTTCCAGTTTTGCTGCTCTAAAATGCCTTTAAACAGAATTTTTAAGAACACGACAAGAACATCAACACTAGAAACATAAGCCAGACACCACAAATGTTTTCATACTTCAGCCGAAACGGCTGTTTTAAAACCTACACGTTTACAGACGGACACTGAAGTTTTGCGCCGTGCCCCGCTGTACCCGGGACAGGTAACTCACTGTGTACTTAAGCACACTGAGTCGCGCCAAGCTCCTCTGTTCTGCCGTTTGATCTGGGAACGTTCCCGACAATTATCCCGTCTTAATCACAACTGAGGACGATCACTCTCACTCTCAAGACGTCGTGAAGCGTCGTAAGAGTGTCGTGCGACCTTAAGAAGACGGTGGGAGGACTGGAGTAAGACTACCAGCAGACTGGGGATTGTGTTTCGCGGGCACGAACATGCCGACTGAGTGAAGTAAGTGGGCTCTGTTGTTCAGTGGTGTTCTCAATTTACCTCACTAGGTTTTCTGTGTGCGTGTTTGTCGAGCAAGCAGGTGAGCACACAGTCTACTAAAACCTACCAAAAACAGGATTCCAAGACGCAAAACTTGAGATATTTCCCCTTAAGGTAAGGTTGGGAGTTGTTTTAAGTCTCAAGATGTAGGACGCATGTATAAGATACTGTTTGGAGGAAAGAGTCTTCTTTGTTTAAGGTTGGCTTGGTTCACTATTTGTTCGCGGATTTGCTCTTGTTGCATGGATTCCTTCACATACACGCAGTCAGTGGTTCAACTATGGGGCAAATAACTATAGCGTCACGTATAAGGGGACGGGGATCGAACCCGCGACCGTAGGTACGTACGTGCTAGCCTCCATAGCATGCCAAAAACTGGGGGTTTTCAGGGTCTTTGGGAGCTTTTAAGTGCTATTTTCTGATTGCATATAGACAACATAGCCGGCCTGGTTGAATTACCCCCTGTTTTTTTGCTAGAACTGGGCTAATCAGAAAACAGCCGAAGACCACCAAACACCCAGTTCTATAAGTCTGCTACGGAGGCTAATCAGAAAACAGCCGAAGACCACCAAACCCCCAGTTCTATAAGCCTGCTACGGAGGCTAATCAGAAAACAGCCGAAGACCACCAAACCCCCAGTTCTATAAGCCTGCTACGGAGGCTAATCAGAAAACAGCCGAAGACCACCAAACCCCCAGTTCTATAAGCCTGCTACGGAGGCTATGTACGTACGTGCGTCGTCAACCACCTTTGCTCTCGTATCAAACATTACGTGTCGTCACGATCTAACATTTCGTCTTTTTTTTTATTGACTCTCTCACAGGGACGTACTGAGACTTGCTTGTACAGTGGAGTGCTGACACCGCTACTAACACACACACACCCCGGGACTTACTCACCCACCCACCAAACCGGTTGAACAGGGATCTGACTTAAGTGCCCTGCTGTTGTGTGTAGCCAGCGTTTGTGTGTGAGGTAAAACCTTTCCCACGGTGTGGCACAGCCAGGTGGTGGGATTCGAACCATGGATCACCGGGCCAGAAAATGGTGGAACAGACTTCTGGGGAGAAAATCTCGCGGCGACTCCAAAGATCGGAAAGACTCTCGCGGCGGGGCTGGTCCAGGGCAGCAGCCACCTTACAAGGAGGATTCCGACGCAGAAAACAGAAAACCAGACGAGGTCCCGAACGGGAACGCCAGAAAAATCAGCGCCCAGACGTCTAAAAGCGCCCAGGTTCGCTCCAAGTGTAACCCGAAGCTTGCTGAAAGTTCCAACAGCGAGTTATCGAGGTCTCAGCAATCCAGCCCGTGGAGAAACCATCTCAGTGTCTCCCACTCCGGTAGGTTTAAAGAGAAAAGAAAACAACGTGGAACTGTCTCTGACCGGCCTGAGCTGTACCACGGCCCGCCCAAACCACTAGAGACGGACTTATGAAGCCTAATAATGTACATACACCATAGAACAAATTTGCTTCTATCCTGTCTACAGCTGATGTAAATAAGGACTCAAGTGATTGTAAATGTGCGCTTGTGACAACATGTGTGCGAGAGAAAAATTTGGAGGACACTAGAGACAACTTTGAACCAATTTCAATGTCTTGATGATCAAAGAATCCTGTACAGATGAAAAAAAAAGCTTTAAGAAAAAACTGTGACTGTGAAAATGACAACCGGTTATCAAAATATCTACATGCTTACAGACTATGCATGATTTGAAATAGCCTAAGGCAACAACGCGATGGAAAAGACAACACGGAACTTCTTTAAACTTAAAACCACTTGGGGGAATAAAGACGCTCCTTGGCAAAAAGACATCACAAGAACGGTTTACATAAGGCTATTGTTGCTATTCATGTGCGCTAAGAAGATTTTGAGCCGCAGAGGGGCTTGTTTAAAGTTCAGCCGCCATCTTGAATCCGTGGGCCCTTTTTTGTTGTTCCGCGTCTTTTATAATCACTTTAAAAGCGTCTGATGCAAAATGGAGCCGCCCTACAATTAGGCCAAAGGTGGATCAGTGTTGTTGTCATTACTACACGCACGGATGTAAAAATTATTCTGTATAATGTTGTCGATTCATGCAACTTTTGTTTTGGAGATCGTCTACGTTTAAAAAAATTGTTGCTGTTTAATTTTAAAGTTGTCTGTTGTTAAGTTAGGCTAGACATTGAGTGTCAAGAGCAGGTCTCAATAACTTGAAGACTCACTAAACAATGTCTTAGGCGTCTACAATACGGCGAAGGAACATTGGAACTTTTTCTTGCCTTCTTCGACGCCTTACCTGACAGTTACATCATCAAACACTTTGCTCGCGTTCACCGCAAAACTTTACAGTCAAGTCAACAACTCATACTCGCCAGGGCTCCACAAAAGGACAACTAAACCTCACAGAACCTTGGAAACAAACCCTTGCCTTCCTTACGCCAAAAAAAACAGTCACTCAAGCAACTGGATATGATTTTGGAAACGGTCAGACGTTTCAGCTAGTATCCACTAGCTTTCGTCAGTGACTGAGAGTCCATACTGAGGGATAATACGATGCTGCCTTTTGGCGTATCGTATTACCTGGATGTCTAACCTTCATCGACAAACCTTATACCTTTCTTAGTCGACTTCTTAGACGTGACACTTTCCTCAAACCTACACAGCCAGCGTCTTGAAGATTAGGAAAAACGATCGTCTTTGAACTTAACACGGAGTGCAAACGTTTCTTGAAGACAGCCGTGACCAAGAACAAGAGAAGACCTACACAGACCACAATGAACAATGTGTGAAACAAGAACATTGGAACTGCCTGTCACGGTCCACCAACCCGTCCCTGTCTCACCGCTTCAATACGGTAGGATAGACATGTTACATTGAAATATGAAATATGAAATACCTTTATTGTATACGTACATTCATGGCTCGACGGGCTAGGTACAGGTCAAGACTTGACAGACACATAACAAATTATGTAGAAAAGTGGAGACAAAAGATACACTACTTGACTTAGACATACATACATAAGGAACATACAAGGATACTATACTAGGCTGTACAAAGTGTTCTAGTTACTGAGCTAATAGAGAGTGGTCAACTAAATTTACTCTACAAGCAGAGGTTTGGGTTCTTGCTTATTTTTTTGGTGTGTTTTTAGGCTTTTTTATCGGGGTGTCGGTTTTGCACAGGTATCTTTTTGTACGCAGACCCAAAAAAAGAGACCAGTGCAAAAATGAAACTCAGATAAAAAGCCTAAAAACATGCCAAAAATAACCCAAAACCCAAACCTCTGCTTGGAGACCAGGCTAGACATGTTGTTATGTGTTTACGGTTAGAGTATTTGCGAAGCACAGTCTGTATTGGAGGGCGGCATTCGAGCCATCTAAAAAACAACACAACCATATTGGGGACAACATTTGAGCTATCTGTAAACTTTTGGATCTAGCCTCTACCACGCTCTCCTAGTTGATAGACAAAATATAGTAGACCTAAGAAGGAAATTGTACTCGAGTCCTGACATGCCACCGATCTTGTGCCCTTGGGAAAGGCACTTTACACGACTTTCCTCACTTCGCTCAGGTGAAAATGAGTATTGTATTGTCCCCTGTGTTGGTGGCGGCATTAATGTAACTTGAAAAAACTTGAGTGTGCCGTCACCAAGTCTGGTGATTACATGTTGGAATGTAAAAAGAAAAATTGTACTCCCCTGGCTAGCTAACTCACCTGGCGTACTACTCAGTATATTTGGCAAATTTCTACTCTTTTTCTAGCAACTTTGGAAGCTTGGTAGAGGCTAAACTTATCTAATACTGTGTATGACATTCAGAGAGGTACAATCTGTGAAACTGTGGGGTTCTAGATTATTTTGTAGGGGGGTTCTTTCTTTTGAAGTGCCCGCATGCAAACTTTAGTACACAAACACCTGTATATGAGAGTGCCTACCTACTAGTAGTACTTATGTATCCGGTTCACGTACTCAAAAAACCAGCCATGTTTACGAAGCATTTTTTAGATAACAAAAACAACAATAAAAAATATCCTGCAGCAGAAATTTAATTCTACAGATCAAAACAAGACAGGTCGGTTTGTTTAGGTTGCTAATTACGCCCAGATCTACTGATTAGATAAGAGAAAAGTCAGTCTTATCCAAGGTACAGTAGCCTACTCATAGCCTCTGTAGCAGGCTTATAGAACTGGGGGTTTGGTGGTCTTAGCATAGCCTCTACCAGGCACCGCGGATCGCTGGAAAAACTAGTAGAAATTGGCCGAAATAAAGGCCAATTTCAGAAAAGATCCCGAGCCATAGAAGTATCTCTGGTATACTGGTATGTTTGCATGCAGGATCTTCTCTGGTATACTATCCCTTTATACTATCCAATGTGTACTATTTTCCCAGCGATCCGCGGTGCCTGATAATCACCAAGCAGATCCCTTTCGGTGGCAAAAAGACAGTATCAAATTGGGCAGGCAGTATCCATTAGCCAGAGAAGGTTGCCAGCCACCGACGGGTTGGTGGGGGTCAGGACAAAAAACGGCCATATATAAAAATGTAACGATCATTCCCCCACAACCTCTGCTTGGAGAGTAGGTGCCTGGTAGAGGCTAGTATTCGCGGTAAGCTGAGAGGCTAGGCCGGTGGGAACGGTGTAGGTGTGATTGTTGTAACTCGGTCAGCCATGAGGAGGTAACCTTGCTGCACACAGCCGGGCACAATGGAGCCTTTCATAGCACAGAAAAAACAGAGCAGTGGTGGGGAGGGAGAGAGGATAATCTCCAAGCAGGTCCTAGCCTCTACCAGGCACCGCGGATCGCTGGAAAAATAGTAGAAATTGGCCGAAATAATTTTTAAGGGGATAGTACACCAGAGAAGATCCGGCCAGAGTGAAGATCCAATTTGCGTGTCCTGTAGCCTCTACCAGGCTTCAGAAGCGCGCCTGAAAAGAGTAAAAATTTGCCAAATGGAAGCAATAAAATTTAGGCAAATATAAGAATGATTGCATGCCCGTAGCCAGGGGGGTTCGGACGCCCCCCTCCCCCAAGATTCAAAGGTCCACTTTTTGGTCCAGTTTTCATCGAAAGGTCCAAGATTTTTCTATAAAAGATGGACTGATTCGTGTCACCAGTGAGGCTGTAATCGTAGGAAAACGGCTCATTTTGTCATTGAAAAAAGTTATCTCTGATTTTTTCTTTGAAATCCTAAAAAAAAACGCAGGAAATGCCATTTCAGAAGGTTGGAAACATTCTACTGGGCACTGCCTTACCATATGCATCGTAAGATCTGCTTTGTCTCTTAAATATCCACAAGACTACTTTACATGTCTCAAGTCTCCACCAGGCCCCTTTAATATCTTAAGTCTTTGCTAAATCGTCTTGTATGACCGAATAATTACTACAAATTGCCCTAATTGGTTGACTAATTCGCCAGAGAAATTAGCGCGACCAATCTAATGCCCTAAGACCGGTTAATTCATCTGGCAAATTAAATATTCACTTGCATCTGGCCAATTTCTACTAGTAGGTTAATTTGTGGCTACTAAAGAAGCCCTTTCCTGCTCGAATTTCAGACGAAAAACAAAACATGGTCTAGTGTTTCTGAAAATATCAAATTTAAACCTAAAACACTTGTCAAATTATTCTGGCAGGACTAACTTTTTACTTGTTTTTCAAAATGTTTTTGGCTTTAGAATGTTGCATGTCCTGTTACGTCTTATGTTATTATGTAAGAATTTCCATTGAAAGTGCATCTTAAATAAAAGGGGCATTTCAACAACGTACAGTCACAACAAAACAAAATACGGGTCACAACATTGTGTGACCTAGAAAATATCCGCCATTTACATTTCAAAGACCTCTGTACCGCGACATACAGAATACGAACAGTATCTTTACAACACAACAAAACAGTTACTCGAGCAACTGGATAGATTTTGAAAACTGTCAGACGTTTCAAGTAGCAACCAGTACTTTTCGTCAGTGACTAACGGAATCTATAGTTGAACAGGCATATCCAAAACTATGAATTTATACGTACATGAGATGAAAACAAATTTTACACAATCCACAGAAAGAAAAAAGTCTTTTTACGCGTCATGTTACAATGATTCTTTTGTGACAAACATGACGACATTACGACATGTGTTTTATTAAGAAAGACTTTTCGGCTGCCACAAAGAAAAGAAGGGGTCATATTTACATTTTAAAGAACCCTCAAACTCTCCATTGACTAAGAGAATACTAGCAGACTTTTTACAAATTCCCTGACGTCGTACAAAAAAAGAAAAGAAATATTACGCCATAACATAGGACATGTTTCTTTTATGAGACTTTTCGGCTGCCACTAATAAAGCAAAAGGCCATATTTACATTTTAAAGAACCCTCAAACTCTTCTGTGAGATAATATGAACAGACTCTTTACAAATTTCTTAATGCCGTACAAAAAGAAACATTACCACATAACATAGAACATGTTTCTTTTATGAGAAAGACTTGTCGGCTCCCACTATGAAAACAAGACGCTGGTCTTCATGGTCTTTGTGAGCTTTTATGTGCTATTTTCTGATTGCATATAGACAACATAGCCTGTCTGGTTGAATTACCCCCGTTATTAGAACTGGGCTAATCAGAAAACAGCCGAAGACCACCAAACCCCCAGTTCTATAAACCTGCTACGGAGGCTAATCAGAAAACAGCCGAAGACCACCAAACCCCCAGTTCTATAAACCTGCTACGGAGGCTAATCAGAAAACAGCCGAAGACCACCAAACCCCCAGTTCTATAGGCCTGCTACAGAGGCTAGTATTTACAGCCAGCCCGACTGTTTTGGGTCAGCCCTGTCAGAGTTACCGCCCTTATTATCTAGATTTACGTCCCTCAGACAACACCGTTTACTGAACCGCTTTTACAACAACAGGGAGGAAGGACAAAATAAGGATTACCCCAAATACCTTGTCTTTACAGCCGCTGATATTGAAGGGTTTGGCAGGGAAAATTACCGACTGGCCTTGGTTATTATGGTGGAAACACTTGTGTAATGGCTAGGCTGTAGTTGGGGCAATAA